CCCCACGAGGATGAAGCGCGCGGGGTGGCTGATGGAGATGCCCTCGCGCTCCACGGTGTTCCAGCCAGAAGCCGCAGAGTCCAGCAGCACGTCGACCTGTTGGAAGAGGCAGCGGCGGCGGTGGTGATTGAGAAGAAAAGAGAGGGACGATTGGGTGATATTTGCTGTCCCGCTTTTGGCTGGCGATCCCATTAGCCGTCCTGGGCCGGACACAAGCAACGGACGCGCTCGGGCTGGGGTGTGTCCGCGCTGGCGCCGTCTGGCCCCAGCTGTCGCCGCTGGGCGTTTGAATTCGAACCGGCCAGCGTGCGTGGGGAAGCTGCCCACCAGGTGGTCGTCCAGCAGGTTGACCTCATCCACGTACAGGATGCCGCGGTTGGCCTTGGCCAGCAGCCCGGGCTCGAACGCCTTGACACCTGGTGATGAAATTCATGTACGATGCAGGGGTTTCCAAGGTCCAGGGTGTGACACAGGGAGAGATGCTGCAAAGGTGGGCCAGGCGCTGCGACGTAAGGCTTCGAAGCGCCCCAGACGCTGCCTTTGTAACAGACGCTATCGCCCCACAATTGCAGCTCACCCGCTGCCCCGGACCGCATCACATGAGACGCCAGATCAAAGCAGGCGAGTCTGCCTTCAAAGCGGCCGTGCAGTCTCATGGGCGCGTCGCCCGCTTCGCATTGGCCCTCTCAACAAGGCCGGGGCGCCGAACGCCCCAGACAGACCCCCCACCACCGCCCGCCGCGCACCCTCCGTGAGTGCCTTCTCAATGTCGATGGTGCCGCACACCCTGTCCTCCGTGGCGCCCAGGGGCAGGTCAACCATGGGGATCTTCATGCTGCCCACAGGCACGGACTCGCCCGCCTTGATGCGCGTGCGCACCTCCTCAGACATAAGCTCGGGGTCCTCGGGGTCTGAGATGCATCAAAATTCATGTGGTTGTTGGTGGTGGTATTGTGTAAAGATAGGCATACACAACATGTACTCACTGTTGTGTTCTCACTGTTGAGGCTGCGTCACCGGATCTCAAACTGAGGGCGTCATGAGCCCGTGGTCGGGTGCGAAAAGCATACCAGGTATGCAAGATGACGAGGCTGTGCGGGAGGTGGGGCCGCCTGACCTCCTCGTGTCCACGTGTGCAGCCCGAGCCTGGGAACCCCCCACATGCCGCGCGCCTCCAAGCCGCCCCTGGCTGCGGGGCCACGCCCGACACGCCGAAACACGACTAGAGGCCACCATTAAAACAGCCGTGGTGCTCGCGTGCCCCAGTCTCAAGCTTTCCCTGCTCGCGCGCCGCCTGGCCGTGCGCCCTTAGGAGGTCGCTGGGCGAACCACCCCATGCTCACTCGCGCGCCAGGTCGTGTGCACCCACAAGCGCCACATACAAGAATACTGTGTACCACAAGAATAATGTGTGTCGTACCTGATATGTAAATTCATGTAATACACCACATACTTAGGCCACTCACCCGAGTTGAAGGGGTCCCGGTCGACGACGCGGATCTCGGGCAGCAGATCAGCCAGGGCACGAATGGTGGTCGACTTGCCAGTGCCGCGGTCGCCCATGATCATCACGCCGCCGATCTGCGCGCAGAGGGACAGGGCAGAGCGCGCGTCATGGGCCGACCGCGATGCAGGAATTGTTGTCAACCATTCGGGCCCATTCCCGGCGTTCGCTCTCGACGTCTCTCCGCCCGCATTATCCAGCGGGCGCTGCCACTTCCTTGCGGCATGCATGAGGACACACGCCGCTCCCTTGACATGTGGACACTCATGCACGCACTTTTGCGGCCCCGTACTATGTGTACATACAAGCACACGCGCGCACGCATGCACGTGCGCGCATGCACACACACACACACACGCACACACACGCGCACACACACACACACACATACACTCTTTCTCTCTCTCACTCTCCCTCTGGCTGTGTCATTCTCTCCCTCTCCCTCTTCCTGTCTCTGACTCCCTGTAACCACCTCGCGTTGACACAAACACACGCCAAATGCACGCACGCACACTCATTCACACCCGCGCAAACACATGCCCGCACGCACCAGCCCCCGCCCCCTCCCCCCCCCC